GGCAGACAATCAATGATTCTCTCTCATCATTGATGTTTCTATCTCTCTCTCCCTCTCCCTTCCTCTCTGAAATTAATAAAAAAGGGTCAAAAAATAATTTTAACATAGGAAGAAGCCTAAAGATCATTGCAGCCAGGCCTTCCCTGTGAGTGCAGAACAGTTGTTTGGTGAGAGGGTCCCTGTTTCAAATCTACCTGGGAAAATCGACTACTGAAATCCATTCTTGGAGAGACACAGGTACGTCAATCTGCAGGAGCTCTGAAAGTCCTGCAGCAAAGACATCTATTCAACTTTGAGCCACACACTATTTACCTAATATACTTGATGGATTTGACCATGACCTTGTCTGACCTCTTTATTTTTTCAGTGAGCATGAGGGCTGTGAAACACAGATCATGATAGTTCAGTGACTTGTCCAAGGTCACACAGATTTTGGATGCCAGAGATGGTGCTATATTTCATAAATCTGACACAAACTGGCTTTGGAAGTCTCAGGCTGAGTTCACTAGGCTTATAAATCCTTTCACTGGCCTTGTAATTTTCCTACACGTCCTTGAATCCCATACTTCTGCATTGCTCCTGAATGGCTCACTTTGGGTTCTGAGCTTCAGCATTCATGTTCCCTGGTTTTTGGTAAATACAAAAGGGATTTCCATTGAAGAGGGCTCCCGACATGTGTAAGTCCCTCTAAAATGAGGAGTTCATGAGGAGGCGATGATTCAACAGTCTCAGGTTTGGACTCCTCTTTTCTCTGACCACAGCTACTTACAACTGAGAGTTCAGGGAAGAGAAGTGACCATGGGAAGAACACAGGCCATCAGACATGAAATTAGAATAACAATAAAATAATAACGATAATATCTGCAGCGTACTTAGTTTATGGCAGGTGGTGTTCTTAATCCTTCACAACCTTTAACTCATTTAATTATTCAGCATCCCATGCATTAGTACCCCCATTTTATAGGGGAAAAACTGAGGTAATAATAAGTAATTTGCCTCACTGTCACATTGCATAACTGGGAAGTTAACTCAGTCTGATTGAGAGTTACTGCTTTTAACTACCATGTTACGAAAGGAGTAATAAAAAGGACAGCCAGGCTTTCTGGCCTCATCTGATGTGCCCAAGAACCATTCCATTTAGTTCCCCTGGCAGCCCCATTAGGCCAACTCTCCTGCGATGATGCCAATCCCACAGATGAGGAAACTGAGGCACACAGAAGTCAAGAGCCTCACCCAAGAGCCATGGTGTGTGGGACAGAGCAGGACTGATTGCAGCCAGGTCCAGAGCTCTTAACCTCTTACAACACACTCTCAAAGTGGCTTTTTTCTTCTCTTTTTAATCTTTGTGGTCATTTCTGTGAACAGCAGTGTTTTAGCAGGAAGCCAAAAAGAAACAACAACAAAAATCAAACCCATAAGAAATACATTTCAGCTATAAAAACCCTTGGGTGAACTTTAAAAAAGAAAATAAACAATCATGCAAAGGCTGGGCGAATGTTGTGAACTTTTCTCCTTTACGTTTATTGTACATTCGGTGGAGAGGCAGTGTTATCCAAACAGATACAGATCTCAAACCAGGGCCTTGAGGGGTGATGGCTCTGCGGAAGTCTCTGAGATTTGGTATAAGATTGAGGGATAGGCCTTGGGCTTACCTAATGCTTGCCCTGTGACTATACATACACCTCTCTGCTGCAGTGCCTCAGTTTACTCATCTGTAAAATGATGGGGTGGTCCTTAGGTTCTTTTGCTTCTACAAAATTATAATTTCAATTCTTAGAAAAGAAAGACCCATTTTAGCTTCTAAACACGGACTAATTTCACTCCAAGTCAGTGCTTTCAGGCCTAAAACCCAGTCTCAGCCTCCTTCTCCATTCCCTCAACCACGGTCTTCCATTCTGAAATGCACGCAGAGTAGTTGGAGAGTTTATTTCTCCTCTGGAGCAACTTGAAAAAAAAAAAGTTAATAGGAAGCACATGGGCATGGTGTGTGAGCGTTCTGTGTGTTTGTGTTTGAAAAAAATACTTCAGGAGGAATATGTCAGGCTTGCAAAATGCCTGG